TAAAGACGAAGCAGATCAAAGCCTCCTTCCCTCTCAAGCCTTTCCTTTACAAGATTTCTCCCCTCCTTTAATAGCAAGCCTGGAGGGGTGATTAATAAGGCACACATACATATCACAGTCTTCTCAGCTACCCTGGTTCTTCCATGTTCAAAGATGATCATATATGAACACATGTACACCAAGCCTCAGGAGACCAGAGTTTTATTCAGGCAGACCACCAGGCACTCTCAGGTAAAAATCACTCACTTTTGCGTCTCTGTCCAGAAAAACGTATTACAATATTTTACCTGCAAAAAAGTCTGAAATCTAGGTTGAAACAGCTTATGTATAAAATTATGACCACGATCAGGGGTACTTCCCTCTGTGGAAAAGCAGAACAGAGGTTGAAAAAAATAAAGCAGAAAGTTGTTTCCATAGGAGGGAACAAGAAAAGAAGGGTGCAAACAACATAAATCAGCTATAATGCACAAGTCAGGAGAGGGCATGCACGATCAGCAAAAATTTTAACTGGAAGAGAAAGAAAAAAGCAAAGGATGTAGTGTAATAGCAGGAACACAAAACTGTGGCTCTTTTGGCAAACAGAGAAGGCCAGTCAGCTTCTGTCTCACCTTCCTGTGACGTTACTTTGGTGTGGCATAAAAACCATCACACCAGTCGAGGTCTCTAAGCATGGATGCTCTCTTTGTGCAGAGCAATCAAACTGAAGAACAAACTAGTGATTTCCTAATGTAAACAAGACCTTAGTTTATGGTCCTTCTGATCAGCTGGTCTAAGAATAGATTTCCAGTTTGTTGAAGAACATCTCTGGCTTAGTGAGCCTCTTGATCCTTCCATTTAGACACGTTTTTTTGTCGCTCCTATTCAGCTTTCCTTGGTGGAGTTCCAGGCTGTACGGGCCAGTGCATTTTCCCCCATTTCCTCATTCTGACTTCCGATCAACACCCTGAACTAGTAACACCCTCCCACTTCAAGCGGGCCACCTAATCGCCACCAGCCTTTCCAACTGCAGCTTCCACATAACACTTTTCAGCACTTTTTTAAAAGACCCACTTGAGGGCAAAATGAAATGAATGTCAGCGTGTTCAGTTGTCAAGAGAGATGAAAAATTATGGACAGTTCTTGAAAAAAAAAAACTGTAAGATTATTCTTCATGCCACCATGACCACCTTAAACCTAAGCAACTGAACTTTTCCGCGGAGTAACGAGGGGTTAAAAAACGGACACCGGAGGCGCTGCTTCATTGCTACCGACCTCCCGGGGCCGTCCCGGTCCAGCAGCCCGGGAAGAGGCCCCGGCACCTCCTCACGCCTGAGGGCAGGGTCACGCCAGCCAGCACCACCCTCACCCCCTCCTGC